AGCAGCCCAAACATTCCTGTTCTTCTTGTTTCTGCCGGCTTCCTGGAGTGGTGTGAGAGCTGGCTCTCCCGGCAGCCACCCACTGCCCGCCTGCGGGCAAAGGCACTGGTTCCCTTTCCGCACCCAAGACGCCCCCTCCAGTCTGGGGGCTGGGAGCCGGCCGGCCGAACCTTCAGGCGCAGGGCTGACTGAACCGCAGAAGGGCCAGGACCTGCGCGGCACCCAGTGTCTCGGCTGAGTGACGCAATCCCACCTCTCTGGGTTGCGCAAGGGGGAAGGGAGAGGCTGGCACACCCAGGAGACCCTCTGCTGTCTCCTGCTTTTCCCACTGTGGGAAGAGAGATGGGCCAGGCTTCCAGGTGGCTCCCAGCGCCTGTCTCGAGGTTCCCAGCACAAAATGCAGGCTGGCTCCAGCATTGCGCCACCATTAGTGGGCGGTGCAAAGCCACCCCAGCGTGGCCTCTAGGTTTCAAGAACAAGCGGAAGGGAGCATCCTGCCCTCCAGCCGCACAAGGGCAGTTTTGCGGGAGGGGGCTAACTCGACCAAGTCCAAAAGTGTTCAGACAAAGCTTGCCAAGCGCAGCCGAGGTCGAGAGTGACTGTAGCAAGTCGCTCGTCAGTCGTGCAGAAGGGGGGCTGGCTCCACAGGAACCCCGGGGGCAGGACCGCTCCGTGCTCCCTTGCAGGGCCACTGGGGCCTCCAGAAATGCCTTAAAGGGGTCCTTAACAAAGAGTTCAGGGGCCAACCTAAGAAGCCCCTGGATGAGACAGTGTCGCCTAGCAGTGGGACTCTGCAGTCCTCAGTAGACTGCCCCTATCCACAGGATTTCCATTTTTCTACAATGGCCGCTGCACAGAAAGGAGAAATCCCACTCGCTCTCTTAGGTCCTAGCACAGAGTAGGGACAATCCTCAGAAATTGCTGGTGCCCCCCCCCATCTCCAGATTACAAGGGCCATTGTTCCTATTCAGAGGAAGGCATTTCTTTCTCCCGCTGAACTAACTTAAGTCTTGGAAAGGCTCTGCTGACCCCTGGAACTCCACCAGCCCGCTGGCATACCCCGTCCCTGTTTTGAGGCCTTGTGCGCCATCTTTTTCTGAGGCCACCTTCGAAAGAAAGTGCTCCTAAGTTGCTTAGTGTGGCCTTTCCAGACCTTTGTGTTTAACAAAGCGGACGAAGGAGGGCCGGCTGAATTTCTAGAAGCGTCAGTTACATCCATGATGAAAGTGGCTCCTCATCTGACAGCCCAGAGATCTCATTTCCAGAAGCCTCTTGGCCGCTGCCGAGACAAAGGCCAGCTCCCCCACCGGCTTAACGTCTCCGCTTGCTTGGGGTCCAGGCCTGTCAAGGAGCCAATGCTGTCCGGGGGGCCTGCGGACCCCTCTCCCGAGGCAAAGAACTGGCAGCAGGGCCAAGGAAAGCCAGCTGCAGGAGGAATGGCAAGAGACGGGTGAAAAGACCTAACACGAGATGCGGCCGCCTCTGATGCAGGGAAGACCATGTTAAAGGCAACTGAAGGGCCTTCTGCACATGCCCCAAAGCACAGACATGAATGAAAGACCAGGCTGAATTTAAGTTACATAGTGACCACATAGTTCCACCCCACTCCCAGAAAGCAAAAGAAAACAAAACCCGAGTGGAAAACATGGATCCCTGATGTCTGGTATCTCCGTCACTCGGTTTATTTAAGAATTAAAGTCTCCGTTGCGCATTCTCTGCATAGGCTTTGTCTCCACTAAGCCGGTCTGGCAACTTCTGCCAGCTTCTGTCCTGCTGGGCCACTGGGAAAGATCTGCCGCTCTGCAAAGCCTTGACGGGCGCTGAGGAAAGGGGGCGAGGGAGGAGGGCGCCAGGATTTCAGAGAGGCCAGGAAGGGTGCTGGGCAAAGAGGGCCCCTCCAGAAGCGGCCCTCGGCTTCCCACCTCACAACCTGCCCAGGTGCTCCAACTTGGCTCAGGCAGAGCTCCTGCTTCCCTCCCCTGTCTGAGGACGAAAAGGGGGAGGCAGCCTCCCAGAAGCCCCGGACTGTAAACCCCATCATCCACAGCCCTCTAGCGCAGGAGCGCGCCGGCCGGCGGGAGGCCGGACTGGTCCCAGGAGGCGGAAGGGCGCTGGAACAGCGCCGCCTCGGGCTTCCTCCCGTGCTCAGCCGCCCCTCCGCGGAGCCGCAAGGAAGCGGGACCGCCAAGGCTCCCGCCGCAGCCGCGATCGCTGTGCGAGGATACCCTCCCCGGCAGGGCTGTCGTTGCGACGGGAAACTTTGCAAGCGTCCCTCCCTTCTCTGCCCGGGGAGCCCCAAGCCCGCCCGGCCGGGGCGCCGCGACTCACCGAAGAAGGGCGGCAGGTGCGTCACGGCCTCCAGGAAGGGCTCCGTGTCGATCTGCTTGTCG